GATTCTGTTTCGTTTGGTGCTCGATGTAAGAAGGCGTTGCATTTTTACGACGCGTTATCGAAGATCAATGTATTTCAAGAGGAATGTACGTAGAAATTGTTTTTAGCGTATCGATAAGTGCGCGGTATTATTATTTAGATTCCTGTGAGTTGAAGTCAAATGATTTTTTTCTTTTTTTTTTTTTTTTTTTTTTCGAAGCAAATTACACTACTTGTTCAGGTACTTTTACGAGATGGATCATACTATAAGGTACAAGTTGTACAAGTGTTTTAAGATTTTCGAGATGAGTACGTGAAAACATTTACGAGCATTATAAAATCATCAAGGTATTGATTGTCGTAAGCATGATGATACCTTTATAAAGCATATACCACGGTAATTCGTGATACTTGTTACCTGTATTTTAAGAGGGGGTTCAAATGGTTGTTGATTGTATGTTGTTGTTTTAAAGGGATGGATTTAAAGGAGGAAGTGGAAAAAGAAGATTTTCTTAAAAATATTTTTTTTAATTATAACATGTTAGAGAAAATGTTAGTTATTTGCCGTTGTATTTGTTCACTTGTTTCGAGTGAAAGAAGAGTCATGGCGCAGTATAATGGAAGATAATTGATCTTGGAGTGCGTAACACTTTATAACGGTAATAAAGAAAGGGGAATCGTATGATTGGCAATATCGAATTAAGTCAGATCTTGGTACGAGGTGGTTTTTATATAATTTTTCTCGTTAGTTTTAAAGTAAAAAACACTCGGTGTTTATATAGCTATTCTATTATCTTTCGATGTACTAATGCGTGACTAAGAAATGAACTGTGCAATACTTTAACTACTAATGCAATTTTTCTAGTATTTATATAGTATAAAGATAGTGTGTATACGTGACGTCAGAAATATTTTTCGAAACAAATCATAGTTCTTCAAGAAAGCGTGATTATGAATTCTATTATATACTAGCAAATCGACTTCTATTGGAGAATAATACAATTGCAGATATTTTATTTTGTAACTTAGAAAATAAAATCTTTCGACACTCACTGATTGAATGGAAAATACCTGCTGTAATATATTAAACATAAATCAAATATTTTTTATCTAATAATTTCAATACTCTACATGTCATATATGAATTATAATGCTATTAATATTGGCGTAAACATATCTTTTACTATTATCTCTTAATTTTAAATATTTTTTAAATTGAATATTAATTATAAATTATCAAGAAATTCTAAAGATTCTGGAACATTTATTTTTTAATTTTATAATCATACTCGTACAAATATTTTTAAATTACAGTTATATATAATATATTTAATCTAACCACTAATACTTATCTCATAGAAACAAAAAGATCGAGGATTAAAAATTATTTTTACAAAATTAAAAATTAATCCATTTATTCGTTATTAAATAAACGAATAATTGAAATACATAACTTCATACCGTAATAATTTTATTATAATAATTGATGATATGATCGCTGACTCTTGCTAAACTAGTTCCAATCTCCACATCACTCTTCAACTCAATTTTCCCAACAATCCGACCTCCATAAAACCAAACCAGAAACAAAGAGAAAGAAAAAAAAAATTCTTGTCAAGAGCACAGGATATTTTTCTATCTAACGAATTTTCCACGCTGGAAACAAAGGCGGTCCCCATAACACCGTACAATACGTGAATATATGCGCGCTGAGATGCGCGCACAGGTTCCAGCAACAATATCGCGGTCGGCGTAGAGCGTGCATCGCCGTAAGCAATGCATCAGCTTCGGCTGACCAATCCCAATAATTTACGATTATCGATCCAACCGTGGTGCTCAAATTTGCTAATTACGCAATAATTATACGGCCTACATTAGATCCCCGACTACTACAGCGCCACTCGCGAGGCCACTATAACCCGTGCGGCGAATTAATTGTCCCCGTTTAAATCGTGTGGATGCGCACTGTTTAGGTCAATAGAAGCTCTGGCAGGTCGTGTCAATAGTTCATAGTCATGTTAGGTTGCGTTTGTATTGACCGTGTGGCTGCGTCACGTATACGATGATCACGGCCATTTGATTGGCCAATAGTTTCGCGGCTGCTTGAGAGCTTTGCGAGCGGGAAACGCGCTCGTTCGTTCGTTTGGTTGGATAAATACGTGTGCGCGAGTGTTGGTGTGGACGAACGGAGAATGAGAGGCCGCCTGGTCGCGTTTGGTCGTTCTCGATGCGCAACGACGTTGACGGACTATAGAGTGAACGCCGAATCTCCGCTGTAAGATACATTACACGTTCGCCATTAATAATTACGGCGGTAACGTTGAAGAGAGGACAATATCGTGGATGCTGGTATATGATAAGGTTTATGATCGGCACTGGATCGAGAATGGACTATTAGTAAATTCATTGATGAATTCTTGTAGCGTTTAGGATGCAAGGATAATGGTCTATAAGATAATGGTTTGATATTATATCAAAATTTAATAAAATAATTTTCTTCAATTTATAATTCAATTTATAATTTTTTTCAATTTACAATAAAATATAAGATGGAAAATAGTAGATATTTATTAATACTAGTAATCATATCTAAATTCTTTTTAATTATTTTAAAAAAATTTGTACTTATACTTTAAAGAACTATACGATATAAAAAAAGTATAAGATATCGATAACTTGAAGTATTCAAGTATGTGATAAGACAATTACGATAATGTACCAAAAATAACTCTCGTTTACCTGTTAAATAGATAGCAATCAGAAATAATTTTGCCAACGCGCAAATTCCTCTCAACGATTCGTTCTCTCAGATGTAACATTGTTTTCCTTTCAATTGTTCGTAATCTTGACGATCGGCAGGTGGCACATCTTTATCAGCTGCTTGAAACAGACACTATTACAGCGAGGTCTGTTCGCGTCTTCATTTAGAATGATAAAGAACAAGCACCAGTTATAATTAGTACGTATGCATGTTAACTGTGACATGTGTATTAACCATTTCGCTATTTTTAATGAGACTTCTTAATTATATGACTGGTCGAATAACAAATGCAAACAAAATTATTCAGAGTAAGAATCAAATACAAATATTTTTAAATATTATTCAGTACTTTTCAAATTTATTTAAAAACTTAATTTTATTACATTTACCATATT